AGGGAGAGGCAGACGTTAGACATCAGCGTCGAATAGGGAAAAAAGGCATACACGAGTTCGTGAAACTAAGGGGCGGACGTGCGGCTTAAACGCGAGCCGAAGATACGAGAGCTTTCGACCTCAAAAATAACGAGGGAAACTACAGGTAAACGGCGATGATGATGACATCACAGAATTTGTCCTCTCGCTCTCGTGATAAAGAGGACGAGGTTTATACATTCGTTGATGAAAGTTCACCGACCGCTAACGGAACGCACTTGTCCCGCTCTGCCTTGGATCACATTTCTCGGGTCCTGACAGCCGCCGTAGCGGCTAGTAATTTTAGGCAGATAGTATTGCCGGCAAAGACAACGGAGATTGAAATGGCCATTTATGGCTTATTAGCCGTCAGTAGCCAGTCATACCCAGACCCATGTGGTGCACCACCACAGCCTCGAACTCGCGAACATCTAATCAGAGTCTAACGTCCTAACCACTGAGCCACGATTTCGTTGTCTTGCCAGTTTAGATCGGAAGATCGTTCAGCGACCACTAACGGAACTCAGTTGTCCCGCTCTGACCGGCTGACGACGGCTAATAAGCCAGAAAAGGTCATTCCAGTCTCCCTTGTCTTTGCCGGCAATACTATCTGGTTAAGGCATTGTTGGACGCAAGGAAAAATCGCAGGTTATGTCGACATCTTTAGCGCAGATGCTGATTTACAAACGACAATCATGAAAACGGAGAATAGCCGAGAGCACTTGATAATCGTTTGGCATCGATAAGATATTATCCGTCTTCAATATTTTGTAACAAGAGTAACCCAAAACCTAAATGTAGCGTCCTGAATTTGCGAAATACCACAAAGTAGAACCAAACGGGTGGCAAGGCTCTCATGAAGTCATCCCTGTCGTTGCAACAAGGTCATAAGACGGTAATACGAAACGTCAACGGCCTGTTATTGTATTACTGTCGATATCGGCTAACATTCGGTGTACTTATAAGTGCATACCTAGAAGTGATAAAACCCTGCTAAAACTATCATGACGCTAGCCGGGTATCATTGCAAATACGTGCTCTTAACGAAGAGGCTACGTCGGCAGAACTACTTGCAACTCGACGAGAGTATAAAGATGTCCGCACCGACAAAAGTATCGTCGCATGGTGAGAATGCGGACCTACAGCACAGGGATCAATACGTGGGAAGCTATCTTGTGGTGGTCCCAGTGTCAGACCACTAATCATGGGTGCTAAAATCAGGCTCTACAAACAAACGGAACATCTGGGGACCACTATTTAGTTGCTCCCTAAGAAGTACAAACGCGTTACCAGAGATTCGCATAAAATTACGTAGTTATCATGAACAGTGCTGACAGAGGGACAATACCTGAGGTTCGAAGGAGTCAGTTGAAGGCTGCCCCGCCCAGTGGTCAGTTTCACCTTAACTTTGTCTTTGAGCTGACAATTCGACTACGGACTTAACCGTCTTGCGTAGCCATGCGAATAGTTTCGGCAGCGAGACCCTAGACAACCACTGTCTTTGGGAATAAAATATACACGCCTGCTTCAAATGCTTTGTTACCTATCTGAAACGCGGCAAGCTGCAATTCTGTAAAGGATTTCGTCATAATATGTCTCCAAGATCAGTAATAAGCGAACACCGATCTCTTGAAACGACGGTATGATTTTTCAACTCGTGTTAGGGCTGCAAGAAAGCCAAGAGAATGCTCTGAAGAGAGACAGGCAAATCAACAAAGCCCCAGACATCGAAATTCGCACAGACTTTCTTGCTCGTGGTGCGTTAAACAAGTAGGGGTGATTAAGGAAATTATGTTGTGAAGCAATTTCAAGGTAGTTCCTACAGTAAGCTCTTGTATGCCAGCGTCACTACACGCCGTGGCTACGGTTTGAAACTTTCAGAAGAATAACCGAACATCAGGCCGTACCAAGTACAATAACCTAATGCATGATGTGCACTGACTACAACACTAATTTTAGGGAGTGATAGGAAATGACGACAGGAGAGCAATCTCGACTGAAATGTCAGACAGTATTGTCCTTAGGGATCTTAGCAATGCCAGAGAAAGATAACTTTATGAAAAATCTGGAATTATGTGGCCGTTTTGCTGACTATTCACTCAAAACACAAGGATA